GATCTGGAAAAGATATCAAGAGTCAGCATGTTACTTCAAAATACGCTCTACCATATAATTTGCTTCTTATGTTTTAATGTTTGCACTGCAGCCTCGAGGAAATCGCTGAGATAATGCAATATAGAGTACTGTACCACGTTGTACAGAGCACTCTGCTGATTCTTCTGTTATACTGCGAGAAATATGAAAAACCGCATCGCCAGCTGATATGGTGCGTGTAACAGAACCCAATTCTTGAATTGTAAAACTTTACTTGTTGAAAATAAAAACTTTGTCCAGCAAGTAACCACTAAGCTGAACCGGGATTTGGCTATCGATCTAACATAACGGCGGTAGTCCGGAATCGTTGTATCACGACGTTCAAAACTATTGGGCACTACTGCATACAGTCGAAGCATAGTCCTGTTTATTGGTTACATGTTGAATGAATCCTCATCAAACAAAATCTCTGAAAAGTGCATTGCAAGTATGTTGCTGTATGTATGCGCATGCACGTGTTATCGAAAACAAAAACATGTTTAAGCCACCACTGTCATACACGCACTGCGGCTGCTAAAACACTATGGAGCAATGGCTCGTTAAATGGTTCTTAGTACTTTGGAAGGAGGGAATAATAAAACCGCGGCACAACCGGCATCTAATGACTTATATGCGTCATTCTCTACGGCGGCGGTGTAAACCAACCTCAGTTATTCTTAAATCTAAAAATATCATAAACCTAATTGCCATACCAGAAATAAACAAAAAAATATATATATAAATGCAGTACGAATCACACTCACTCGACTGTGGTCCATAACCATGCACTGTTCACAGACGTTGATGCGATGTTCGTAACAAAACAACTCTGTCACTTTCCGCTGGGGGCATTTGCACAAACCCATGGCGTTGACCGACCGATAAATGAGTAAAGAAATGGTCGTGTGGCGCTCGGTAAACGCGTATCCACGTCCTTACGCGCGACGCAGGGTCGACTTTCGACACGAGTATACTTCGGAAGAGAAACCGGACTACACACGGCGTAATATAGTCAAGTACAAGAAGAGGAAAACTATGGATAATTCGTTTAAAAATCCGGTGACAGATTATTTTGTCAGGTTCGCCACCTTTACAACGCCTGGATAACGTGAACCACTTTTGGCTCTTCGGTTGGTACAACGCAACTACCGTAATAACACAGTACGCCTCTGTGATCGGCAGGTTCAAGGTAACTTGTTGATAGTGAAAGCGGTTTTTGATTCAAGGCGGTCAACGTAAATCGGGTTTGAACATTGCTATGCTTTAAGCATGCTTATGATGGAAACTACGCACGATTCACAAGATAAAGGAAAATATTTGGCTAGCAACTGCTCCGCAAAAAAGAACAGATTGAATCATGCGTAAAGAATTTAAAGCACAAAAATAGCGATTCTTGAACGAACCTAAACTGTAAGTTTGAATCAGTGA